TATGGACTGAGGCTCAATGTCAAGAAGACAAAAATTCTCACCACTGGACCAATCGGTTGCATCCGGATGGATGGCAAAGAGATTGAGATTGTTCACAGCTTCAGTTTGCTCGGCTCCAAAGTCAACACTCTTGGCACCAGCAGCCAGAAAATAAAAAAGCGTATCGCGATAGGAAAGTCTGCTGTCAGGGACCTCTTTAAAGTACTCAAGAACAACGGTGTCTCTCTGGAGACTAAGGTGTGCCTGATACAGGCCATCGTTTTTGCAATCACTTGTTATGCATCAGAGAGTTGGACATTGACTAGGGAGGATAGAAGGAGAATTGACGCCCTTGAGCTGTGGTGCTGGAGAGGAGTATTGAATGTACCATGCATGGCCAAGAAAACAAACAGATTCATCTTAGAGAGGATTTAACGAGGCTGCTCCTTGGAGGCTAGGATTCTGGGGCTTCGTCTGACATAATTTGGACATGTTGTAAGGAGAGACAGGTCTTTGGAGAGGAACATCATGCTGGGTAGAGTGGAGGGACAGCGCAGGAGGGGAAGACCCTCTATGAGGTGGATTGACTCAGTGACTGGGGAGTCAGGATGGGTGTGTCAGAGGAAATGAAATTGGCACAGGATAGAGCACGGTTTAGGGCTGTTGTGCATAGGGTCGCTATGAGTCATAAACGACCCGACGCCACATACCAACAACAACAGCAACTGAGAAGTTATTAACCAACCATTCTGTCAGAGAAAGATGAAACTGTCTCCCCCCCGTGAGATTTACAGCCTCAGAAACACGGAGGTGTCTATCATGAGTGAAAATTAGCTCAAGGGCAATAGATTTGGTTTGTGTGTATGAAAATTTAGGGATGTTTCTGGAAATAGTACATAATGAGTTGCCTTGCTAACCCAAGGACCTTGAGTTTTTTGTTTGGAATCTACCAGTGTTCCTCAGGAAAAAGTTAGGCATTATCTGTTAATGATGTACAACCTTAGAAACTCACTAATGGCAGAGAATAGGAAAATGCAGCCAAAACATCTAAGAGTATAATCCATAAACATTTATTCTTCATATGTAAAACACTCATTTCAAACACTGTAATAAATAAAAACCTGGAAAACAAGAGAATTAACAATTCTAGAATTTGATTCTTTGAAAGGATAAAGCAGGTAAGCCCCTAGTAAATTTAACATTGTAAAAAGAAACCACACACAACTGAAGGTACAAGTAAAGAATAAAAAGGGTAACATCACAACAAAACCAGCTGAAATAAAAATAATAGAAAGCTAGGAAGAACTGTCCTCTTAACAAATTTGAAAACCTAGGGGAAATAGGCAAAGTCTTAGAAAATCATTGCCCACCTAAACTAGCAGAGATGGTGGTAATGTGACAGACCCATTATAGAAGAAGATAACTAGTTCATAAATGCATTTCCAACCAAACCTAGTTCTTTTCCACATTGTTTTACTGGTGAATTCTGCCAGACATTCATTTGAGCTGACACCAATTCTACTCTCACACACTATTTCAGAAGAAAGACAGACAATTTGAGATATGGGATGACATCAAGGATATCATCCTTGAAAAATGCACAATGTCATTACAAGGACAGAGGAGGCAGAAAAGATCAAGATGGATGTCAGATCAGAAGAAACTAACTATTGTACTAGCACACTAAGAAATCAAATAACAGGAAGTTAACAATGGAACAGAAGTTTTCGAAGGGCAATTCAGGAAGACAAATCAAAATATTATAATGAAATGTGCAGAGAACGGGAGCCAGAAAATTAAAAGGTATAAACTCAGTGGGCATTTCTTGAGATGAAGGAACTGAAAAGTAAATTTAGGTCTAGAATTGCAATATTTAAAGATGCTATGGGCAAGACATTGAATGATCCAGGAAGCATCAAAAGGAAATGAAAGGGGTAGACTGAGTCACTGTACCAAAAAGAATTGGCCGACACAGTACAATTTATTTAAACAGCATATGATCAAGAAGCAATGGTAATAAAGCTGGAAGTTCAAGCTACTCTGAAGGAATTGGCAAAGAATAAGGGCCCGATATGGAATTAATGGAATACCAATTGACATATTTCAACAAATAGATGCTGCCCTGAATATGCTCACCAGGTTGTTACAAGAAATCTGGAGAACAGCTACTACTGGGGCAACTGACTCAAAGAGATCCATATTTATTCCCATTCCTAAAACAGGTGATGCAAAAGTGTGGTAGTTTTTGAACAATATCACTAACATAACATGCACACAAAGTCTTGCTGAAGATTATCCAAAAAAATGACTGAAAACAGTACATTTAGAGAACTACCAGAAATTCAAGCAGGGCTTCAAATGGCCGTAGCATTAGGAACATCATTGCTGATGTCAGATAGATCTTGACTGAAAGTAGAGTATCAGAAAGATGTCCCTTTTTTGTTTCATTGACTCTACAAAGGCATTTGGCTGTGTGGATCACAAGAAATTGGACTAACATTGAGAAGAATGGGGATCCCGGAACACTTTATTGTGCACAAGCAAAACCTAGACCGGGAAACTGTTGTATAAACAAAACAATGGAACTCTGCATGATTCACAATCAGGAAAGGAGTGTATTAGGAATGTGTTCTGTTTCCCTACCTTTTCAGTCTGTATGTGGAACAGAGAGGCTGGACTTTATGAAGAAAAATATGGCATTGCATTGGAGGGAGACTCATCAACAGTCTGAATTAGGCAAGCAATTACTCATAGAAACTGAGGAGAACTTGAAACATTTGCTGCAGAATATCAAGGACCACAGTCTTCAATATGGATTGAAGCTCACCATCAAGAAAACAAAAGATTCTCACTGCCAGGCCAATTGAAAACATCTTGGTAAGTAGAGAAAGATTGAGATTGTTAACAAATTAACTTGCTCAGATCCAGTCAACACTCTGGCAAGAAACGAATTGCACTGGGAAAATGAGCTGTGAGGAACCTCTCCAGAGTACCGAGAAGCAACAGTGTCAGTCTAGAGACTAAGTTGCACCTGATCAAGGCCATGGTCTTCACAATTACTCACCTTGCATTAGAGAGCTGGACAAAGAAATGACGAAGCATGACAGAAGAATTGATGCCTTTGACTTATGGTGCTGGAGAAAAGTCTTGAACATACCATGGACCACTAAGAAAACAAGTAAGTTTGTCTTGGAGAGGATGAAACCAAGTTTCTCCTTGGAGGCTAGGATTTTGAAGCTCCATCTCACATACTTTGGGCACATGACCATGAGGGATCAGTCCTTGGAGAAGGACATATCATGCTCAGAAGGGTGGAGGGACAGCCCAGGAAAGAAGACCCTAAATGAGATGGATTGATTCAATAACTGGGACTATAAGGATAGGTGTGTCAGAGTCAGTGAGACTGGTTCAGGGCAGGGCAGGCTTCAGAGCTGTGTACATATGACTGCAATAAGTTGCAGGCAATTTGACGGCACATAACTACAACAACAAAGATCACTAATAAGATATATAGAGGACAGATTGAAGAGAGACTGAAGAAGAATGTGAAAAATGATGATAGGGAATGGAGGGGAGAAAGCTTTAGATACCTTCTTATTCAGGGTAAGCTGGTCACCGTATTTGGAAACCATGTATTTGTGAACTGCCCTAGTGGAAAGGTCCCTATAGGTAGAGATCCCAGAAAAAAAGTAGCCAGAAATTGAAAAGTAATCCATAACCGATGTGATTAGGTTTTACAGAAGAAGAACCCTAGTGATGTGCATCCAAAACACCAGGCATTGAAACTCTGCCGTTTCTTTCTTGTCACATTGGAGTGACTATGAGTTGGCAACTTGCTTAGAGAGATTATGGGTACCACGATGGTCTGAGTTACAGGCCTGTGCCATCTTCCAGGAATTTGAGGATAGAACATTAATATGAAAAGGGGCATCTAAGAGAGTGACTGGATACTAATGGTAAGTGATAAATACTGAAATTGTTATTTTTATTTTCTTTTCTCACATGAGGCATTGTTTATGTTTAATTCCCTTTTAGTCTCCACTCTGTACAAGTTGCACAGTCTCCTTCCTAAATTCACTATCCTGGTAGAGCCTTTATTGACAGAGTCTACTTTTTTTTTAAGATATGCATACTCATACTAGTCATCATTTTTAGATTACAGATCTTTCCTTTGAAGGCAGAAGGCATTTATTTGTTTGATGTCTTCATTGTAGCAGTTAAATTCAAAAGTTTGCACATATTATATATGCAATATATATTCATTGAGTTTCTGGCTTTTCATATGTTTGGCAATAAATTCCGCTTTAGGTATATATATTTTATATCATTTCTCTCTTGAGTTTTTTGTTCATTTTTGAAAAGAGAAGTTTCTCTTTCTGAAAGAAAGTTTAGGAATATTTTAAAAAAATTTTAAAGGTTTCTGCAGCCACAAATAGTTTGTATTGAATGCTTAAAATTCTATTTTGAGACTGATAAAATAAATTGCAACTAATGAATATAGAAAATAACAAGTATAATTATCTAGAGGATCAAATTATGAATCTAACCTTTGTTTCATTTGTCTTCTCTAGGGCATATTATCTTTCCTGAGTGCTCCTCTAATAGGTGCTCTATCTGATGTTTGGGGGAGAAAACCCTTTCTCATTGGTACAGTCTTCTTCACATGTTTTCCCATCCCACTGATGAGAATCAGCCCATGGTGAGTAGTTGCTCACTCAGTTATCAACACCCTATCTAAGGTCACATGTAAGTAATAATACCTCTGCATAGCACTTCTTTACCATTTTGAAGCAGTTATACATGTGCTTTCATTTTATTGCTTTATTAGTCCTTGAAAGTAGGGTGGACACTTATCCTCAGCCCTGTTTTATGAATGGAAAGAAAGAAGATACTATTTCTGTTTTTATCATGAGTTCAATCATATGAGTTCAGTCCTAGAAATAAATAATCTCTTACTGTTGTGGTAAGTTGATTTAAAATTTATTATTTTTGTGAGCTCATTGCTTTGGGACATTGATGTGAATATAACAGTATACAGCAGTGATTTTGTGTGTTCTCTAAGAGCTGTACTACAACCCAGACACATAGTTTGAACCATCAGCTACTCCATAAAAGATGGATATTCTTCTTTCGTGTGATATACTGCTTGAACTCAACAAACAGCAACCTATTTTTATACTGCCTGAACTTACAAACTATGTTGTTATGTGCCGTCGAGTCGCTGTGACTCATAGTGACCCTATGTACAACAGCCCTAAAGGGCTCTGTCCTATGCCAATTGTACTGTCTCTGACACACCCATCCCGGTTACCCCAGTCACTGAATCAGTCCACCTCATAGAGGGCTTTCCCCTCCTGCGCTGTCTCTCCACCCTACCAAGCATGATGTCCCTCTCCAAGAACCGGTCCCTCCTTATACCATGTCCAAAGTATGTTAAGTGGAGCCTCAGAATCCTTGCCTCCAAGGAGCCATCCAGTTTGACCCTTTCCAGGATGAATCTGTTTGTTTGCCTAGCAGTCCATGGTACCCTCAATACTCTTCTCCAGCACCACAGCTCAAAGGCATCAATTCTACTTCTATCCTCCTTGGTCATTGTCCAATTCTCTGATGCATAACAAGAGATTGTGAAGACCATGGCCTGTACCAAACGCACCTTAGTCTCCAGAGAGACACCATTGCTCTTCAGCACTTTGGAGAGGTCCCTAACAGCAGACTTTCCGATGGCAATACTTCTTTTAATTTCCTGGCTACTGGTGCTGAGAGTGTTGACTGTGGAGCCAAGCAAACTAAAGCTGTGAACAATCTCAATCTCTTCACCATCCTGATGTTGCCAGTTGGTCCAGTGGTGAGAATCTTTGTCGTCTTGATATTGAGTCTTAATCCATACTGAAGGCTATAGTCCTTGACTCTCTTCAGCAAGCATTTCAGGTCCTCCCAGTTTCAGCAAGAAGGGTTGTGTCATCTGCATAATGCAGATTGTTGATAGATCTTCCACCAATGCCACATTTCTCCTCATAGAGCCCAACCTACCGGATAATCTGTTTGGCATACAGGTTGAAAAGGTATGGAGAGAGGAAACATCCCTGGCGTAAGCCCTTCCCAATTTTGAACCATGCAGTGTTTCCTTGTTCCTTTGTTCTGACAACTGCCTGCCTCCTGGTCCAAGTATAGTTTTCTCATTAGCATGATCAAGTGTTCTGGGATTCCCATTCTTCTCAAAGTCAGCCACAGTATGTTACGATCGACACAGTCAAACACCTTTGCATAGTCAATGAAACACAGATATACATTCCTCTGGTATTCCCTGCTTTTAGCTAAGATCCATCTAACATTAGCTACAATATTTCTAGTACCACAACCCCTTCTAAACCCAGCCTGGACTTCTGGCAATTCTCTGCTGATGTGCTGTTCCAGTCGTTTTTGCATAATCTTCACTAGAATCTTGCTTCCATGTGAAATCAATGATATTGTTCTGTAGTTTCCACACTCTGTTGGGTCACCTTTCTTTGGGATGGGAATAAATATAGACCTCTTCCAGTCAGTTGGCCAAGTGGTTCTTTTCCAGATTTCTTGGCACAACTTGGTGAGCACCTCCAGGGTGGCATCTGTTAGCTGAAATACATCAATTGGTATACCATCTATTCTGGGGGCCTTATTTTTTGCTGTTTCCTTCAAAGCAGCTTGAACTTCTTCCTTCATCACAGTAGGCTCTTGCTCAAATGTTATTTCATGACATTCTTCTATATCTGCCAATTCCTTTCGATACATGACTCAGTATATTCTTTCCATCAACTTTTAATACTTCTTTAATACTTCCTGGGTCATGTAATATTCTGCCTAAAGCATCCTTGATTATAGCAACTCGAGGTTTGAATTTGTTCTTCAGTTCTTTGAGCTTAAGAAATGATGAACGAGTTCGGTCCTTTTGATTTTCCGACTCTAGCTCCTTGCACATTTCATTGTAATACTTTGCTTTGTCATCCTGCGCTGCCTTTTGGAATCTTCTGTTTAGCACCTTAGTGTCTTGAATTCTTCCTTGTGCTTTGGCTTCTCTACGCTCCATTGCAGTCTTCAGAGTTTCTTCCGACCTCCATTTTGGTCTTTTCTTCCTCTTCTGTCTTTGTAATGACCGTTTGCACTCTTCCTGGATGATACATTTGAGATCCTTCCACAACTCATCTTGTCTTCGCTCATTAGTGTTCAGTGCCTCAAACCTGTTCCTGAGATGATTCTGAAATTCAGGTGGGATGACATTAAAGTCATATTTTGGCTCCTGTGGTTTCAGTTTAATTTTCCTCAGCTTCAGCTTGAACTTGCATATGAGTAGTTGCTGGTCTGTTCCACAGTCAGCTCCTGGTCTCGTTTTCACAGCTGATATGGAGCTTCTCCAGTGGTTTTTTCCGCAAATGTAATCGATCTGATTCCTATGCATACCATCAGGTGAAATCTATATGCATACTGCGTTTATGTTTCTTATAAAACGTATTTGCAATGAATATGTCATTGTACAAAATTCAATTATTCTGTCTCCAGCTTCATTTCTGTCACCAAGTCCATGTTTTCCAACTACTGATTCTTCTTCTCTGTTCCCAACTTTCGTGTTCCAGTCACCCATTATTATCAGTGCATCCTGATTTCATGTTCTATCTATATCCGACTGTAAAAGTTGGTAGAAATTATCTATTTCTTCTTCATTGGCTCTGGTTGTTTCCGCATATATCTGAATGGTAGTTGTATTCACTGGACTTCCTTCTAAGCGTATGGATACAATCCTGTCACTCACAATGTTCTATTTCAAGATGGATCTAGAAATTACTTTTTAACTATGAAAGCAATCCCATTTTACCTCTGTTTAATTTTTAAGTAAGCTGTTTGCTGCTTTTTTCTAGTTGTACTGACTAATGAGAAGAACAAAAAACTCTCAAACTCATTGCTTTAGAGTCAGAACTCACTTATAGCTGACCCTCCAGGCAGTTTTAGGAAGCTGTAAATTTCATTGAAGGAGATTGTCAGTCTTTCTGGACCGGGTGGTATATTTGAGAGATTCTGCTTATTGATGAGGAGTGTAGCTGTCTACCTCTATGCCCTCAAGGTTTTTGGTAGTGTTAAATAAAAGTGATGATTACTGTTCATCTTTTGGTGCATGTAAAGACAGTGTTTTAATGTTTCATCATTGAATGTTGGAAACCATTCTATGCGGGTTCTTTGTTTTTATTTTCTTAAAATCAAGATTGGATATAAAATTTTATCACATGCCATTTTTGGCATGATAGTATTAGATTTTTTTTAGTGGAAACTAATAGCTTTTTCAATATTATCCTTATATTCCTGGAAGAAACTCTGATTTTTGGTCTGTGGATTTTGGTTTGCTCATATTGCATTTAGGTAGTTTGGTTTTAGTTTTTGCAGATATACTTATGTAGGAATTTTTTTATCTTCATAATTTTAATATTTTTCCTTAAACAGGTTTTTTTAAAGTAGCGCTTTTATTATATGCACACATAGAAATGCATATACATGTAATTTATAATCTTTACATAGTATCTTTAGCTCAAAAGATAAACAATTCAGTGGGTATACTGTGCCTCTTTCCTGGTTAATTATAGTAATTTTTTTTATAGGTGGTATTTTGCCATGATTTCCGTATCTGGAGTCTTCTCAGTCACATTCTCTGTGATATTTGCCTATGTAGCTGATGTCACTCAAGAGCATGAACGAAGTACTGCTTATGGATGGGTAAGAGAATAGACTGTATATATTTTAACATTGGAGGAGACCAGTATCTAAACTAGTATCTCAAAAGATGTAGAGAAAAGGTGCATATGTGCTTGATAGAAACTTTTGGTACCCTGAACTAGTCTTGACCAACTCTTAAGCACCCAGTTTAAAGGTCTTGTCTTCATGAAGTCTTCCTATCTGGGCTACTTCTCTTTGTTGTCAGGACTCTGGAAATGCTAGTTTTATGAGTTGGTGTGAGATATACTTAGGGAGAGAGTAAGCAGAGCAGTTAACAGAGCTAATTTGATTTCCACAAAATAAAATTTGTCAGTTTTTCTGTGGCACGGCAATAACTTTATTTGTGTGTCATGATTTATGACAGAGTTTACTCTCTCAGTCTATACTAAATGACTATTTACTAGATTTCAAGTTGTGAGATTTAAAAAAATAAAACAAGCCCCAAGAAAGGCAAAAATAACTTGTATTTCTGGTATTCCTCTCCTCATCCAGCTTAACACTCCACAATACAGGCAAACCATCTTTATTCCCATATTTCTTTAATGTGAACATATTAAGAGTGGAAAGAAGAGCACAGTGCTCTAGCAGGCTCACATATTGAAGATGCTGCCTAGTTCAAGAAAATGCTCAGATACTATGTCTTCTCCCTGAACCATTAGAAGTGATGTGATGAATCTTAATATTCTGACTCTTAAAACTGCAATACCACTATCACCCCTGAGAAATTTATAGATGACTGTCCTTTCTAAATATCTAATTATAGTGTTCTTTGATTGTTGTTATTTATTCAGTAATTATCTGCTGAATGAATGTCAACCTTTTTTCTTTAATTATTGTTGTTAAGTGCCATTGAGTCAATTCCATCTTATAGTGTCACTATAAGCTGCCCCCATAGCATCCAAGGACAGGGCATCGATGTCCCCATTGCACTCGAGGACAGGTGTTGCTGCCCCAATATCAGCCGAGGGCAGGGCATTGGTGCCCCCATAACACTTGAGGACAGGGTATTGATGCCCCCCCATTGCACTTGAGGTCAGGACATCAATATTTCATTGCACCTGAGCCCATGGCATCTCTGTCTCTGTAACATCCAAAGGCACTGTGGTTGAAGCACCCAAGAATATTTGATCTGTGTTCTCATAGCACCTGAGGACAGTGCAGCAGTGACACCAAGCATCTGAGAACCAACCTACCATAGTGATCTTTAGCCCCTGGTGAACCTATAGCAAAGCTCACCTTAAGCAGTGTTGCCATACTATTAGAGTACCCTTGCACAGTGTTCCCAAAGCCTTTGCAGTTCCTTTCACTGTTACATATGTGCCTAGATTTGTATCTGGGAAAACCGTAAAGACCATTTTCTTCCTCTTATTTATCCAGTATATTGGTATACAAAAGATACTAAAGAACAGAATTTCTGTTCCACAGGTAAGAATTTTCCTTTCTTGTTTAAATTTTGGCAGAAAGGTTTCTATTCAGTTACTGATTCTTGTAGTTGTTTAGTAGAACACTTAATGTCAGATGTCAGACAAACTTGGCAGACTGCTCATAGACGATCACCATCCTGAAAACACTTTGGAAGAATGCTCTGTATGTATGGTGTTGCATCGCATTGAAATCAACTTGATGACAATCTCTGAGCCTCTGGTTTTACAATTATGATGTAGGCGTTCACCTGATGAAATCAGATGTAATGCGGTCATTTCTTTGAGGAGACAATGTGCTATGAAACCATTTCTATGACAAGATCACCTATGGACACCTATTCAGAAGAGGAGTTTTAGCAGGATTGTGACCTACATCCACTATCTGACAAAACTTTTGATTTTGCTCACTTGATGAATCCAGATGTAATACAGTTGTTTCTTTGAGGAGACATTGTGCTATGAGACCATTTCAGTAGGATTGTGACCTACATCCACTATCTGACAAAACTCTCAATTTTGCTCAGTCTTTCTCCTCATTTTGGGTTCATTACAAATGAACCTGCAGCCTGCCTTATCTGCTAACCTTGAAATAATCAACCTTGCCAGCTGTGTGAGTCAAAAGTCTCTTTCCTGAGGTCTAAACCACTGACCTGCAAACTTACCAAACTCCACAAGAACATGAGCCATTTCCTTGAGCTAAATGTCACAACCTATTTTATCTGTACATAAGCTCCTTTAGATTTTCGTCTCTACAGGACCTAGCCCAAGACATTTGAGATTGAGAGTGGTTCGAGGCAGGTGGATGGATAATCATGAGAATGAGTTTCCTTAATTGGTTCTCAAGACTGACTTGTCCTAAAAGTACTGATGACTCTGCTTTCATTACTAGAGAGGACTGTTAATTCACAGTGTGGGGTGACAGTATTGATACCCAAAATATCACCACTAATAGGTCAGATATTAGAAGTGAGGCTCTGGGTGAACATGTTTGATAAATTTCTAGTTTTGTCAGGAAGACAAGTTTAGAGAAACTGGTTACTTAGTCTTGCTTACAGTGATAATGTTGAGAGAAAGGGATGAATGCAGGGTTTCCAAGTCATCATGATGTAAATGACCTCTGTGTTTGGAACTGTGCTTTGAAAGAAAATGGCATGCTTACAGTAATGGTTCTGGGCACTACTGAAACCCAGAATATAATTGTAAGAATTACTGAATTAACACCACCACCTGAAATCCATCTGTTGGGTTTCAGTATCAACGTAGAAATTATACCCAGAATTGAAAGTTTATTAATGAAAGAAAGTTGATTAAGCACAGTACACTAATAAACATATAGCATCTTTTGTTGAGGGTGAGAAATAACATCAGTTTGGAATAGAGGTTGACTATTGAAGAGCTTTTTCTTCTTAGTTTGATTCTTTCTTTTGTGATCACCTGATTGGTGGAAAGAGGTAAATCTTCCATATAAGGATATCACTCCATATGGTGGTGTTTTCTAGACAAAAAGCCAAGCTGATAAAGAATAGTACAACATGTTCATATTGCAGCAGCCTTTGCTGTCTTTATCATTATGTTCCCTTTGGTCTCTCTGACCCTAATGTTCCCCTCTGAGAGAGATTGATCTTAAAAATATTTTGAGGATTGATTGTCATTCGTTTTGACTACTTGCGGATAAGAGGACTATAGGATTCACTTCCTCAGCTAATCAATCCCTTTTGAGATCTCTGGGAATATTCATGAAGCTGGACATGATGAAGAAGAATAGGGCGTCAGGATCAGAGAAAGGCTCATCAATAATCTGTTATGTAGGCAACCACTTTGCTGAAAATGATGAAGAGTTTAAGTGCTGGCTATAGAAGGTCAAAGACTGCAGCCTTCCATAGGGCTTTCATCTCAACATCAAGAAGTAAAGCATTTTTATCACTGGACTGATTGGCAACATCGTGTCAGAAGAAGGAAAAATTGAAATTATCAATGATTTTCTCTTACTTGGATCCTTAGTCAACACTCTTGATTACTAGCAATCATGACGTCAGAAGATGTATTACATTGGGAAAGTACTCTCAGAGACTTCTCCAAAGTACTGTGGAACAATGATGTCAGTTTACATAAGGTACACCTGATTCAGTCCATGGTCTTTACAATCACAGGCTATGCATTTGAGAGCTGGACAGTGAATTAGGATGACAGAACAATTGATGCTTCTTAATTGTGGTGTTGGAGAAAGTACTGAATATCCCATGGACTGTCAAAAAAACAGTTATGTCTTGGTTAAAGTGCAGCCAGAGTGTTCCTTAGAGGCAAAGATGGCGAAGCTTCATCTTAAATACTTTGGACATATCTTCAGGAAGGGCTAACATGCCTTGGGAATTGGTTGGCTACATGCTTGAAAAGGTTTAGGGTCAGCGAAAGAGAAGATCTTCAAAGAGATGGATTGACACAGTGAATGTAGCAATAGGCTCAAGTATTTCGGAGATGGTGAAGATGACACAGGATAGGACAGTTGTTCATAAGGTCACTATGAGTCATATTTGACAACATATGAACAAGGTCTAAGGGTTTGGTGGTGCTAGCTGCCAATATCTTTTCCACCATATCACTTAAAGTGTGTTAAGTATACAGGATATTAGCAATAGCTAGACACTACTGATGGCCAGCTTTCTTAGAGCTTTTGAACTGAGATAAAAGCTTAAGAAGTGAACTTGATTTTCCTGGCTTGGCCCCCCCCCCCTTTCCTATGAAGTACGTTTCATCATTAATCTTATTTTTACTTCAAAGAACACTTATTCTTACACTTATCCACATTCACTTATTCTTACACTTCATTCACGTAATTTATAGGTTGTTTTTTTAGTTTTTTAAGAATGTCTTTTTTTAAAAAAATTTTTTTAATTTTAATAATTTAATGAACATTTACAGAGATTTTGGATTTCCATTCATTCATTGCTGCATTTGTCTCCCCACCCAGCCCTCCCCCGTAATTTATACTTTTAAGTTTAATACTTACTAGTTTTTCTGTTCTGACAAAACCAGACATTCTACTTTAAAATAAAACTACTTTTCCTCTTAAAAGAACTTAGTACTACACTCTTATTGTCTTTGTTCTTGACTAAAAATGTGCACAGTTTCTTTTGCTTTCTACAACTGATAGACCTTTTAATAAAGATTTCTATTTTCCTCACTCCCATTCCAGTGCTCTTGTTCTGTTGACCCTTTAGGCATTATTTCATGTTCTTCCTTGTTGTTGATGGTGGTTTTACTCTGCAGTCTATTTTATTAGAGATTAATGTTCCTGCTGCTTTTTTTTTAATTGCCATTTGTTGTTTTTTCCCCCCACCCTTTGATTTTCAGTCTGTCTTTCTGTATTGTCTTTTCCCAGGTGTTCCTCTTGTAGACAGCATATTGATGTGCTTTCATTTTTTATCTAATGTGATGTGCTTCCTCTTCACTGGCTCATTTAAACCATTCACATTGCTATAATCATCAAGAGATAAGATTTTATTGTTCTCATTTTGTTGGGTTCTTTTTTGTGGTGGTGGTGTTGGTTGCTTTGGCCAACCATTTTTCTTTGGTTTCTCTGTGGGAAGGACTTCCTTTAGTATTTCTTATAACATTAATCTCGAATTTGCATTAGTAGTTTGCCTTTCCTGCATACTTTGAATTTGTGGAGTTTTTGAAGCTAGCAGTCTATTACTGTACACTCTAATCTTGGGTTTGCCAACCTCCATAACTATGTGAGTCAGGGGAAGCCCCTCTCCTGAACTCTGAACCATGGATATAGAAATTGCCAGCTTCTACAAGTTTGGACCATTTCTTTCCTTTAGATAAATATCTCCGTGTGTGTGAATATATGTATGTATGTCTTCTCTACTCATCTGCCAGTTCGCTGTACAGAGAGGACTTGCTTGATGCTGGAAGCTATGACACCAGTACTTAAAATACCAGCATTGTGAAGGTAAATTTCATTGGAGCATCGAAACCAAGAAGCGGCATCATCTGCTTCTGAAATAATGGGCCCTTGAAAATCTTGTCAATAGCAGCAAATGTTGTTTGATGCTGAGCCAGAAGATGAACTCCTCAGGTTGGAAGGCACTCAGAATACAACATGGAAAGAGCTGCTTCTCCAAAGTAGAGACTAACTTACTGAGTTTGTTCCAGTAAAGCATTCAGACAATGGCATCACTCAAAAGAGGAGAAACAGTTGTAAACATCTGTTAATAATTGAAACTTAAAATGTACAAAGTATGAATCTAGAAAGACTGGAAGTTGTCAAAAATTAAATGGAATGGATAAAAGGTTATAGTAGAACATCCTTGACAGAATGGACAGTTGGGGAAGAAAGCTCAAATACATAAAAATAACAAGGCTTACAGAACCCTCAATGTTGTAGCCGCTAGGCACTTCCTTGAACCTGAAATAAAGCTCATCCCAGTGGCTGAACATCCAGTCAAACAATAAACAGCCATATAAATGAATAGCAACACTTAAAAGGAGGGTGATTGATGCTTCTTAGAACAATCAAACATACAGGTCCAAAAGGGCAGTAATTACCCAAGGATAAAATGGGTGGTAGAAGGATTAGCATAAAGGAGAGTCAGGAAGACTGGCTACATTGTGTATATTTTAATTAATGTTGTGAAACAAAATGTGATAAATGATTGAATGGAAAATGTTTGCTCTTCAAATTTATGCCCAATCAGAATTTAAAAAAGAAGTACTGTAAAAAGTTTTCAGTCTTAAGATCTCCAGGCTATTTCCAATTAGTCACTATAAAAGCTTGTCCTCCATTCTGTTTCCAGTTAGTTAATATAATAGCTTATCAGCAGATTCTTAAAATACTGTCATTTAAAAAATGTATGTGTAACAGATTACTTCTGTCCTGTTTAAAGCCCAGAAAGGATGGCCACAGCTATGCATCTGTGGGACCCTAGATGAGAGTGTGCTTTCCCTACAGGTCTCAGCCACTTTTGCAGCCAGTTTGGTCAGTAGCCCGGCCATTGGAGCATACCTGTCTGCCAGTTATGGAGACGGCCTTGTTGTGCTAGTGGCTACAGTGGTGGCTGTTTTGGACATCTGCTTCATCATATTGGCTGTTCCAGAATCTCTGCCAGAGAACATGAAACCTATTTCCTGGGGAACACAGATCTCATGGAAACAAGCAGATCCATTTGCGGTAAAGACCAGTTTACTCTCTTCAGTATTTTTCAAAGCTATATGCCAAAAAAAAAAAAAAATAGGGACTGTTTTTATAGCCTCAAAGATTCTCCTCCCCTTACACTGGTAGAAATAGAAAATAATTGGTTTCTAGTGAGAGATTAAGAGAATGTAAACAAAAAACTAATCCTACTGTGATGACCATTGAGTCATTTCCAACTCATTGTGACCCTCCCTGCTGTGTCAGGTTCTTGAGGCTGTATGTACATCATTACAGGAGGTAAAGACCTGTCTTCCTCCCTCAGAGTAGCTGGTGAGTTCAGATAGACAGCCTGTCAGTTAACAAGCTGATAAGCTATGCACTGAGCACCAGGAAATACATAGATTGGTATTTCTTAATCAAGCATGTTACTTAACAGAGAGAAAAAAAATTATTTCTTTTTAAGGATTTGGGAAAGAAGTTTTTTCTCTTTTTGCAAGATCTTCTTCATCTATTGTTAACAAAATAATGTATTTGAAATGTTCATTTTAACTTTTTAATTCAGAAAGGATGCATGTGTTTAACTAAAGTAGATACCCACTTTATCTAGAGGCTTTGAATTTGTGTTCTCCAGATTAAATAGAGTCACAGGCGACTCATAGCGACCCAATGAAGGAGAGTCCTCGATGATGGGTGCCTTTTATCCTCTCTCCAGGTTCATGGGGTTTCCGGAGGCAAGCTGTTATGGAAGTGGATGCCACTCATCCTTCCAATCTTACTTTAACCGGGGAGCTTCACCCCACTCTCTGTGTGCATTGGGTAGCCAATCATTACAACAACAGATTAAATAGATTCTTGGTTTTTCATTATCTTTTCTTGTAAGGAGCAGGTTAGGCAGGTGCAGGGGAAATAGGATACTAAGAACTAAAATAAGTATTAAAGAAAAACAGTACTGAATATTACCACCTCTACTTGCCTGTTACCTTACTTAGTTTTAAATTGTTCTTAAATACTTGTGGAAAACCAAATATTTTAATTTTTGGCTTTTTATTTCTAATTTCACCTTTTAGGAAAAAAATATGTAAATAAGAAAACTAACTTGCATCATCAGAAATACTATCTTTTCTAAAATAATAAAATATTTTCTAAAAGAATATTTAGATAAAAGAATTTTCTAACAAAATAAAACATTATTCTTTTCTAAAAATCCCCCTGGGCAATGGCTGGAGGACTCGTTATACCACCATATGAAAAAGAAAATGTGTTCGTGGGCGAGAGATAAAATGTACTGTGAGCCAGACAAGCACATCCTCATTTCTTATAATGTAGTAATCAAGTTACACACACAGAAGTGCCTCTATAAAGCAGAAGTGGTTTACTTGTCAGGGGTGTTGTGAGGAAATCCTCACAGTTAAATATGTCAATTACCTCTGTTACATAGTCATGTATGGTATGGTTTCAGTATATATTAACTACTTTGGTTGTTATTATTAATAATACAAAGATAAAGTTTCATTGACTTAAAACTTTGCAGTACCTCAAATCCTTAGATATTCAACAGTTCTGTGTGGAAAGGGGTTTAAGGCTTTTTCAGCAAGGTCTTAACATTTAAAAGTTGTTACTGGTCATAGAGTTACTGTCAGTTTCACTGATCCCATAGCTGGAGCATAATTGCTATCTAGCTAAGATAAAGAATTGAACATTAATATTTTAAAGAATAAATTGAATTTATATGTATTGAAAATTGTGTACTAATTCGACTTTTAAGTTATATTATGAATGGGAGGGTAATGTGATTTTTTTTTTTAAAAGGTTGAGCAGGGGAATATATACTTCCCCAGATCTTTGTAGTCTTTCAAAATATCATTTTAAAAAGAGCAAGTGATTTTTTTAAATGGGGAAAAGATAAAATAACTACCAGCTGAATCTATCAGGTTTGAAACAAACCTCTGAAATTAGATTGTGTAACTTCCATAGAGGGATAATCTGAAGGGTTTAAAGTTAAGACTCACCTCCTTTTTAATTTAGCCTGCTTTTGCCAACCACCTTTTTTTCTGTCAAAACAATGTATACCTAGTCATCTGCAATGTTAGTATCTGTTTGCTTTTTTATATGTTTCTTTTTCTGCTTTTTAACAGTCATTGAAGAAAGTTGGGAAAGATTCTACCGTTTTGCTAATCTGTGTCACTGTATTTCTTTCATACCTTCCTGAAGCTGGACAGTATTCCAGTTTTTTTCTCTATCTCAGGCAGGTAGGTATAATATAATGTAGGGGGAAACATTATATAACTTTGCTTGAATTTATAAATGTACATGTTGTTTTTGTTGTTGTTATGTGCTGTCGCATGCTTACATATAATTTTAAACTAGTTAGTAGTTGTCTTAGAGTAGATTTCAACTCATGGTTACGTCCATGTGTTTCACAGTAGAATTGTTTTGCTGCAATGATGTTTAAAATATGGTAATATATTTGTTGTGGGAATTATCTCTGTATACGGAGACAAGAATTTGCAGAAACAGGATTATTCACAATCTTTGAGGTTTTTAATATTGTCCGTTAAATTTCACAGAAAGCTAAATAAAGGCTGTGATCTCACAGCTAGCTTTTCCCCCAGGCAAGAATGTCATCTTCAGCAGGCAGCAGCAGTGTTCTAGTCCATACTTAAGTTGCAATTGTAAACTTCAAGGTAACTAGCAAATAATGACCAAAATAATGCATGTTATATTTTTCCCCATACTCTCCCCCACACTTTTTTTAAGTTGAGATTTTTTTTTCATTTTCTGTTCATTTTTATTTGTTATTTGAATCCAGCAATTAAAAGTTACTAATTAAAATGATATTTACACTTTTAAAATTTTCTAGGTATGAGGAAACAAAAAGAATAAAAGGTGGACACCTATTAGTAGTGAGCCCATATTTATGCAAATACATATGTCTGATAAGTTGAGATTTTTAATGAAATTTTATAAAGAACTTGGATTTGCATTCCTTGATTGCTGCACATATTCCTCAATGTCCCTTTTCTCCCCCAGTTAGCTTTTTTTTTTTTTAAAAAGTTCTTTCATTGTTATACAGTAGTGCCCCTCTTTTCCCCACCCTAGTCCCACCCAGATGACTTTACTATGCAGCTCTTATTCTGGACTCCTGTCATGCCAATAATACCTAATCATATATCCCTTTTAAACAGTTCTCTCCCTCTTCTGTTTCAATGCAGTATACATTATTTATCCTCTCTTTCTCAGTCTTCCCTCAACCCTGATGTCAGTCCCATTTTACAGCAGTGGTCCTATGTAATATTTGTCCTTTGGTGTCTGAGATATTTTACTCAGCATAATGTCCTCGTAAGGTCACCCATTTTGTATAATATTTCAAGATTTCCTTGTTTTTCAATTCAGCATAGTATTCCATTGGGTGAATATATCAGAGCTTCTCTATCCATTCATTTGTTGATGAATGGGTTGTTTACCAGCTATTTGCTATTGTGAACAAAGACGTAGTAAATATAGTTGTCCATAGGTCTGATTGGGTAGCAGTTATGGTTTTTCTAGGGTATATTCTCAGGAGTGGAATTGCTGGGTCAAATGGCATTTCTGTTTGCAACTTTTTGAGAAAGTGCCATACAGCGTTCCATACTAGTTGCACTGTTCTCCACTCTCACCAACAGTGAATAAGGGTTCCAGTTTCTCCGTAACCTTACCAGCATTTGTTGTTTGCCATTCTGCTAAATTTTGCTGTTCTTACTGGGGTGAGATGATATTTCATAGTTGTTTTGATTTGCATCTCTCTCAGAGCTAGGGATTTTGAACTTTTTTTCATGTGCTTTCTGGCCATCTGAATGTCTTTTTTGGTGAAGTGTCTGTTCATATCCTGTGCCCATTTTGCCCATTTTTCAGTTGAATTATTTTTCTTTATCTTGTGGTGCTCAAGTATTTTATAAATTCTAAATATAAGTCCTTTGTCTGACATGTCATTACCAAATATTTTCCCCCAGGCTGTGGCTTTCCTTATTACCCTGTTGGAGAAGGTTTTGGGTGTGCATAGGGATTTGATTCTTAGAAGGTCCCATTCATGTGACTGTTCATGTTGTGGATTAGGACCTGTAGAGTTCTTCCAAGGTGGTTTTTTTTCTCTCTTTTTTTCTACTAGTTTATTTCTAAAATTCAAATACATATTTGAACAAATTCTTTCAAGTTCCCTCCCCTCCCCCCCATCAAATTGTACAACCCAATGATTAATTCCCCTTTCGCCCTGCGTATCCACATCCCTCTGCTTCCAGCCTCTCCCAGCCCTCCTGGATCCGTATACTCATTCTACAGTAATGGTTTTTTTATACAGTATTTATCATCTTGTCACTGAGTTATTCACTCAGCATAATGCTCTCCAGTCCCTCATAAGTTAGGTAATAATTTACAAGGTTATTGCTCCTGTGTGCTGCGTTGTATTCCATTGTGTGAATATACCATAATTTCTCAATCCACTCGTTTGTGGTTGGACATTTGGGCTCTTTCCATGTTCATTGTGAATAATGCTGCTGTGAACAATGGTATACAAATCTCAGTTTGCACCACATTTCTCATATTCTCAGGGTATATTCCAGTAGTGGAATAGCTGGGTCATACGGAATTTCTATGTTCAGCTTTTTGAGGAAGCACCAAACTGCCTTCCAGAATGATTGCACTATTTTACAATCCCACCAACAATGTATAAGAGTTCCTTTCTCCCCACATCCCCTCCAGCGTCTATTACTTGCTGCCCTGTTAAACTTTGCCACTCTTACTGGAGTGAGGTGGTACCTCATTGTGGTTTTAATTTGCATCTCTTATTGCCAGTGATTTGGAGCATTTCTTCATGTATCTGTTTGCCATTAGGATATCTTTCTCTGTGAAAATTCTTTCCATGTCTTTTGCCCATTTTGTAATTGGGTTATCAGTCTTTTTCTTGTGGGGGCCCAGGAGTATTCTGTAAACTTTTATTATAAGACTCTTGTCTGAGATGGCATTATCAAATGTTTGTTCCCAGTCTGTAGGTTTTCTTTTCACCCTGTTTGAAAAAGTTTTGATGCACATAGAGATTTAATCTTCAGAAGGTTCCGTGCATCAATTTTATCCTCTTTAGATTGTGCATTTCTGGTTGTATTTGGCAGTCTTTTTATACCTTGGACTAACACATCTAAGCTTGATCCGTTTTTCTCTTAAAACAAAAAAACTATTAAATAGGCCAGTTTAGTAGAGTGGCAGGATATAAGATCAGTATCCAAAAATCAATAGGATTCCTCTACAGTAACAAAGAGAACTCAGAGACGGGAATAAAGAAAGCAATACCATTTACAAGTAGCCAACCACAAATTGAGATACTTGGGAGTGAACGTAACTAGAGATATGGGAGACCTATATAAAGAAAACTATATAGCATTTCTGAAAGACACCAGCGAGGAAGTTTTTCTTTTACTTTTCAAAGAGAGGAGCGAACGGGGGGGGCTGGGCAGGGAGAGAAGTGCAGTAATGAATGAATGGAAATCCAAAATCTCTGTAAATGTTCATGAAAATTATTAAAATAAATTAAAAGAAATTCTTTTATCTAAAAAAAAAAAGAAATAGAAAAATGTGCCCTGTCCATGGATAAGAAGTCTCAATATGATGATAATGACAATCCTACCAAAAGCGGTCTACATGTTGAGTGCAATTCCATTCCAGATACCAAATTCATTTTTCAAGGAGATTGAAAGAGAAATTATCAAAATTTATTTGGAGAGACAAGAGACCCCGAATAAGCAAAACACTTCTGAGAAACAAAAATGAGGTTGGAGGCATAGCACTCCCTGACCTCATAACCTATTTTACAGCAGTGGTATCCAAAACAGCATGGTACTGGTACAATGACAGGAACATAAAGCAATGGAACAGAATTGATAACCCAGAAATAGACCCAGTTATCTATGGTCAGCTGATATTCGACAAGGAAATCAGAGCTATCAAATGGGGAAATATAACCTTTTCAACAAATGGTGCTGGCAAAACTGGACTTCCACCTGTAGAAAGCTTAAACAGGATCCACATCTCACACAATATACAAAATCAACTGAAGGTGGATCAGAGACCTGGAAGTAAAGTCCAAAACAAAGCTTTTCTTAAATGAAGTTAATAGTTCTTGATCACTTTGAGTTGTTTTTTTGTGTTTAGAGTGAGGTATGGCTCTTGCTTGAGTTTTCTGCAGATAGTTTTCCAATTCTGCTAACACCATTGTTAAAAAGCCTGTCATTTCTCTACTTAACTGATTTCATCTCCCTGTAAAAAATCAGTTGGCCATAAGTAGATGGCCTGATTTCTGGATTCTCAATTCTATTCCATTGATCTGTGTATCTGTAATTGTACCAGTACCACGCTGTCTTTACCACCAAGGTAGTGTAGTAGGATTTGAAATAAGGGAGTGAGATGCCTCCTACCTTGTTTCTTTTTTTAAGTAGTACTTTGCTTAGTCTGGGCCTCTTTCCATTCCAAATGAAATTGGAGACTGCCTTTTCCATCTCATTGAAGAATGGACTTGGTACTTCTTTTGGGATTGCACTGAACATGTAAATTGCCTTTGGTAGTATTACCTTTTTACAGTATTGAGTCTTCATATCCATGGGCAAGGGATATTCTGCCACTTCTCCGGGTCTCTTTTTGTTTCTCGTAATAATGTTTTATAATTTTCTTTGAATAGATCTATTGTGCTTCTGTTTAGGTTTACTGCCAAGTATTTAATCTTGTGATTAGCTGTAGTGAAGGGTATTGTTTTTCTCATCTTCAGTTCTGTATTTTCTTTGTCACTGTAGAGAAATTCAATTGATTTTTGTATGTTGATCTTGTTGTATCCTGCCACTTTGCTGAATCGATCAGCTATATCCAGTAGTTTTCTTGTTGAGTCTTTAGGGTTTTTTTAAGTATAATATCATATCATCTGAATGGACAGATAATTTTACCTCCTTTTTGCCAATTTGGATACCTCTTTCCTTCTCTTACTTTATTGCTATCGCAAAGACTTCCACTACAATATTGAATAGGAGAAGTGATAGTGAGCATCCTTGCCTAGTTCCTGTTCTCAAGGGAAATGCCTTTAATCTCTCTCCATTGAGAACAATGTTAGCTCTCAGGTTTGCATGTATACTTTTTAGTATATTGAAGAAATTCCCCTCTAATCCTATTTGTTGAGTGTTTAAATCAGGAAATGGTGTTAAATTTTGTCAAAGAACTTTTCTGCATCAATTGATAG